CCCTACACCTAAATTCCTAAATTCCTCCTGCTCAGTGAACTCTTTGGGCTCTTGGTGTGGCTCAGCTCTTTCATCCTTTAAGTCTTATCTTTTTTGTTGTTAATCTCACTTGAGGATAGCTGCCTTCCATTGATTTTTAGAGATAGTGGAAGGGAAGGAAGGAGAAGGGGGAGAGAGAAACATCAATGAGAGAGGGACACATCGATTGGTTGCCTCCACACAGGTCGACTGGGGCTGGGGATTGAACCTACAACCCAGGTACGTGCCCTTGACTGGGAATCGAACCAGACCCTTTGGTGTGTGGGCTGATGCTCTAACCACTGAGAACGCTGGCCAGAGCAAGTCTTACCTTAAATGTCACCATAGAGAGGGCTTCCCTGACCAGTATAAGGAGGTCTCATTATCTTCTCTCATAGTTGGTTCTTTTTTTTTTTTTAATATATCTTATTGATTTTTTACAGAGAGGAATGGAGAGGGACAGAGAGTTAGAAACATCAATGAGAGAGAAACATCAATCAGCTGCCTCCCGCACACTCCCCACTGGGAATGTGCCTGCAACCAATGTACATGCCCTTGACTGGAATCGAACCAGGGACCCTTGAGTCCGCAGGCCGACGCTCCATCCACTGAGCCAAACCGGTCAGGGCCATAGTTGGGTTCTTTTCTCACAACATTTATTATTTTACCAGAGGCCTGGTGCATGAAATTCGTGCATTTGTGGGGGGGCGGGGAGGGCACTGACCACCAGGGGACAGCTCCTGGGTTGAGCATCTGCCCCCTGCTGGTCAGTGCACATCATAGCGAGCAGTTGAGTGGCCTTAGCATATTACGCTTTGATTGGTTGAATGGCCAACTGGATGACCAGACACTTAGCATATTAGGCTTTTATTATGTAGGATTACTAGAGTCTCGGTGCACGAATTTATGCACGGGTGGGGTCTGGCCGGCCCAGGCTGATTGGGCCGGGCTGGCCAGGGGGAGGGGCCAAGGGTGGTTGGCCAGCTGGCCCCGCCCCCTGGTCCTGGTTGAATTCCAGTCAAACTCCTGGTCAGGGGACAATTTGTGTATTAGCCTTTTATTATATAGGATAGGATTTGTAGTTATTCTAAACAAATACTTTTTTCTGTACCATTATATTTTAATTTCCACCAAGGGCAGACAGTGTTTAATTTGTTTTATTTATTTACTTATATATATTTTTATTGGTTTCATAGTGGAAGGGAGAGGGAGAGAGAGATAGAAACATCAATGATGAGAGAGAATCATTGATCACCTGCCTCCTGCATGCCCATACTGTGGATCAAGCCCTCAACCCAAGCATGTGCCATGACTGGAAATCGAACCTCAACCTCCTGGTTCATAAGTAGACAACCACTGAGGCAAGCTGACTGGGCTTGTTTTATATTTAGTTTATAGCCCAATACCTAGCACACAATAAATGTGGAATAAAACAGTGAATGTATGAAAGAATGAATGAAAAGGGTCCCTCATGCCTCACAGTCTTATCTAAGAAGTGTTTGTAGTGAGAATGCCATTGATTTGGAATTTTACATCTCTCTATAGCCTATAGTGTCTTTTTTCCCCCCACAGTTTCTTAAGAGGTGCTCAAAATGATGTCACGACAAATGATATTTTTCCCATCTGCTGCTTCAACCTTTTATTTTTTTCACACCCACACTTGCTATTTATATAGTCTTGTTGCTGGGAATAAAAGGTAAAGAATTCACAAATATCACCATCTAAGCACCAGTTTCAAATTAAACATCACCCTTCAGCTTGCAAAATAATTTCTTTACAAGTAAGCAATTGACAGAAGAAACATGTCAGTTCTCTCTTCCTGGAGAAGTTGGCAGGATGACGGCATCCTATTCTCTGTGTTAAATTTGGGGGAGGGGGGAAGAAAAGCAGCCTTTTGCAACCCAAATCATGGAGGTAAAGCATAGAGGAGGGCTAACTGCATTTCAAGATTATGGAAAGCAGTTGGATAAAAGAAGCAGAACTCTCCACCCCAGGAGACAACACAAATATTTGCCAAATCCTGAGTTTAGAATTTTTTCTTTTCGAGATGAATATAAAAGCACCTAAAACTCAAGGAAAATGTTCTTCCTCGCATGAACCAGCAAAAGCGCTGGATTGGCCAGAAGCTGGCCCACCGCCCACCCAGCGCAAAGGCTGGCTTGCTGCAGAACGCTTCAGTCTTCCATTTCTGATCCTTCAGAAGTCGTGCTTCAACATTTTAGTCTTGTGTGTATCTGTGGATACATTAAAGTCCCTGTTTGTTTGTTTTTTCCCATGGCCAGATTTCTCGAGCCCCTTTTCCTGATATTCCTGAGTTTCTTCTCACACAAAATCCTATATGATAAAAGCCTAATATGCTAATTGTCCATCAGTTTGTTCAACCGTTCGATTAGTCGCTATGATGTATACTGACCACCAGAGGCAGACACTTGCTGATGGGTTCTGGCCAATCAGGACTGGGTGAGATGAGCCAGGCATGGCCCGGAGCCCTCCCACGGTCCCTTCCCGGCCCCAATTGTGCACCAGTGGAGTCCCTCAGCCTGGCCTGTGCCCTCTCGCAGTCCGGAACCCCTTGGGGGATGTGGGAGGCCCGGTTTCAGCCCGATCCCCACAGGCCAGGCTGAGGGACCCCACCAGTGCACAAATCCATGCACCGGGCCTCTAGTATACTCATAAGTGCAGCATTATCAAGTATGATAAATATCCAAGATACTTAACTGTACCAAAAACTTACCTATTCTGCAAAATAGTTATTGAAAGTCTGCTATATGCCACCTACTTATATGCCAGGTTTTGTTTTAGGCATTTGAGTTTTTATATATCATTAAGTAAAAATGAAAACTATCTTTGCCCTCTGAAGCCTGCATTTTCATGGAAGATATAGACAATAAACAGTAAACATAAGTTATAAAAAAATACTCTATTAAAAGGTGATATGTGTTACAGAAAAAAACACACATGAAATAAGGAATCTTTGGGAATATCTGAAGGGTGTATGATTTTATTAAAGTGGTGATTAGGCTTTATTGAGAAGATAGTATTTGAGCAAGGACATATGGTAGTTGATAGTTAACTATGTAGATACTGGGGGAAGAATATTCTAGGCAGAGGAAACAACTAGTACCAAGACCTTAATGAGAGTGTCTTTCATAATTTGAGGAATAGAAAGGAGAGGAATAGCAAGAAAGTAAAAGGAAATAAGGACAGAGAGGTAACTGGACTTTTGTAAGGACTTTGGCTTATACTTTGAGGGAAAATAGGGAGCTATTGTAGGATTTTGAGCAGAGGGTTGATGTGATCTGAAAGTTTAAGGAAAGTTGCTGTGTTAAGAATAGACTGAGCAGGGAAACCAATTAGGAGGGTATTGCTATCATCTATGTGAGATGTGGTATGGTAGCATAAGTCAGGGTGGTAGCAATGAGTGTGGTAAGAGATAATTACGTTTTGGATATATAGTTGACCATTGAACAGCATGGGTCCCTTTATACATGGTGTTTTTTCAATGAATACATAGACTTAAAAGTTATATGCAGGTTTTTTGCTGTGGCGGGGGGTGGGGTTAGACCAGGGGTGGGCAAACTTTTTGACTCGAAGGCCACAATGGGTTCTTAAACTGGACCGGAGGGCCGGAACAAAAGCATGGATGGAGTGGTTGTGTGAACTAATATGAATTCAAAGCAAACATCATGACATAAA